TTAAAACCAGTCTGAACCTTCGATTAGAGCAGAAATGCTTCAATAAGTTCTATCAACCAGACTCCTGGAAGCACCGACTTTTATGTGCAGGATGTGCTTCTGCCAAGAATGTCTGCATCTCATGTGATGCTCAGAAGACGGGCAGATGGGAAATGAGTTAGTTATTGTTGGAAAGTTTTTCTTGGAGAGTCCCGTCAGACGAGTGTGAATGAAATCAGGTTTTCTCTCTAGCAGCGGCATTTTGTAGCATGGTTAAATAACATTCACCTGTTAATGAGGGTTCCAAACAGCAGCCTGACGGTCCTCTGGATGTTTTCAGAACACAACCAGCTCCAGTGCTCCTTCAGCAGAAGACACAGGATGTTCAGGGCTACCTCAGCCAGGGACATCTCAGATGACGAGTCTGAAACACATGAAAAAGTTCAGAATATGGAAGATAAGCGACTGACAGGAGATCTGATGGGGAAAAAAATGCATGATATTCAGAATCAGAGGATGGATGCTGCAGCCCTGATAGGTTTATGTACACTGCCCTCCTGTGGTGAAGCTTTAACATTGCAAGGTGAGATGCACAGTCAATAAGAAAGAAGAAATGTTCAAACTTGTTTTATACTCTAACTCAGGGTGGTCAGAGGAAGTCATTCAAAGATCCTAAATGCTTCATGTCATCATAGTCAAATTACCCGCACAGACTGGATTCTGTGGAATGGGGGCTGCTATCCTTGAAATAGTTGCTTTCTTGCTTTAGCAGTGGTCACCATTTTGAAAGAGTTAATTCAACATCACTGGTTTTCAAATTAAAACAGCTCCACAGATGGGAAGCTGCAGTCAGAAAGAAGGTATGGCTTTCTGGATCATCAACAACTTCTTGGTAGGCGGCTCTGATGGACAAAAGAGTCCAGCAGGTGCGCTTAAGGAGGGGTGATCAACAGAATCAGGATTCCACCAGTGCAGAGCTTACCCTAGAGACCATAAGGCCAACTCCACTGGCAGCTAAGAACAGATTTTTGGACTCTTCTGTCATTAAAAGAATCAAGAAAATAATACAGTTCTGCAGCAAGGATAAAGACTGGTATAAAATGTATTCATCCGAAGAAAACAAATCAAATAGAACCACCTGATCCGACCCATGTTCAGGTATGCCTCTAATTCCAGTAATGTGCAGACTTAAAAGCTTAACCTTGATTAAAGAGAAAAACTCTTAGATGTACTTCTTCCAACAATCCACCAAAAATGTGGTAATGCTGCAGCACTAAGGAGTAACGTGGCACTAGGAAAATAAAGTGGCTCAAAGATCAACACAAAAAATGTTTGGACTGTTTACCAGCCTAATGATGCATTTGAGAAGCTGAGGTCAGCTCTCCAAATGCAGGTAGACTAACAAGAAACTGGATCATCTCAAAGCACTAAGATGACACTACATGGTCCAAAACAACAAGACTAGAGAGAGTTTAGTGAGTCCTAACATAAAGTGTTTTCTCATATTCATATTTAAATGTCAAATAATTCTGGCATAAACATGTATATAAATGTAGTCTTTATCAGACGATATTGTCCCAAAATTTAGAAAATGTATATTTTTTCAAAGTCTGTCTTAAAATCTGTGGGTGTTTTTTC